CCTAGCTGGACATCTACTCTTGGTCCTCTCTGACTGTTGCACTTGGAAGCTACACGTCTGAACAGCCTCCTCATGGACAAGCACAATCCCTCTCTCATTCACACACACAGACACACACATACACACACACAGACACACACACACACACAGACACACACACACACACACACACACACACACACTTTTCTGTCGTCTGGTACCGACGCACGTCTATTCTGCACCACCACCAGCGCTGATTTGGTCCGATGGGTGTGTGCTGTCGTGTCCATCTTCTGCGCCGCGCTTCTTGTTGTACACGACATAGTGTTGAATGATGATGATGGTGTCGAAGACCATGGCAATGACGCCAAGCCCAAACTTGGCTGCGTCCCCACTGATCGCCGACCAGTCGTGCGTGATCCTGTGTGTGTGTGTGTGTGTGTGTGTGTGTGTGTGTGTGTGTGTGTGTGTGTGTGTGTGTGTGTGTGTGTGTGTGTGTGTGTGTGTGTGTGTGTGTGTGTGTGTGTGTGAGCGGGTGAGGCGGCAGAGAGAACAGCACAACGGTCAATCGTTGCACCCGAGGTTGTTGGTACTCACGCTGAGTCCATCATGAGCTGGGCGACCGAGAGAACACCGCCAAGAAAATCCAGCAAAAAGTTGTGCACGTTCATGCCCGCCGTGGACTTGCGCTTGTAGTTCATGTACACCTGCGCCGCAAAACGGGGAGAGAGTCATGTCATGCGTGTGTGTGTATGTGTATGTGCACGAGTGAGCGGGAGGCACAAATAAGGGTGCGCTGAAATGGCGCAAAAGAAAAGAGAGGCAGACACACCGACAAACAGGTAGGAAGGCAGGTCGACAGGGAGACTTGTTCGCAGATACACAGACACACACAGACAGACAGACAGACAGACAGACAGACAGACAGACAGACAGACACACACACACACACACACACACACACACACACACACACAGACACACACACACACACACACAAAGACAGACACACACAGACACGGACCTGGGGCATGTACTTGATAAACGTGACGAGCAGTTTGATGTCGGCAACAAGTTCGTAAAAGTTGAGCCAGATGAAGAAGCCGTGGCCAACGGTCGCGCACAGGATGGCAAACAGGGCCGCCACCACCACGGAGAGACCGCACACCCCCTGCAGCACGACGCATCGTCAGCACATTGGTGTGGTAACAAGGGTGCCGTTGTGGTGAGAGATTGGAGAACAAAGCGGGGAGTTTGTGCGGGAAAGGCTACACACGGAGACGGGTTACAAACAGACGCAGACGCACAGACAGGGACAGACAGGGACAGACAGACAACCAAACACACTGATACACACGGACACGCAGGCACACAAACAAAGACAGATAAACAAACACACGGACACACACACACGCACGCACGCACGCACACACACACGCACACGCACACACATAGATGCACACACGTCAGCCCACCCAGCAGAACTTGGAAACCTTCTGGTTCCCTCGCTCATAGATGACAATTTGCACACAGATGATGATGGTGACGGCAACGCCATGGAGCGCAAAGAAGACGTCGGACGCTTGAACCTGCACAGCGCGAGTGCGAATGCGCACGGGTGCAACATGTTGTTGATGTGAGCTTACGCACCTGGAGCACAAAATAAGCAAGGGTGGGGGGGGGGGGCACCATAATGGGGCACGACCTGCAATTGTGTTGTACACGCAAGCGTCAACATGATCAAACCTGGTTCTTCTTTCCGTGGTGATGGCGCTCGTAGTCTCGCTGCACGGGAGGAGACCAGAAGAACAGGCTGTTGAAGATGCTATACCTGTTGTGGTCATCATGCGCAATCGCCAACACGGAAAGCAGCTCAGCGAGTCAGTCCGGAAGTATGCAAGGAAGGATTGCAAGGATTGCAAGGATTGGAAGGATTGGAAGGAAGCAAGGAAGGAAGGGTATATGGAGACAGTTGTGCACGTGTGTTTATGTGCATATGTATGCAATCGTGCGTGCATATGTGTGTCGTTGAGTATGGGAGGTGAACTTGACGGGAAGCATGCGTCACTCTGCAGCGGTCAACTTACGCGACGTAACCAATGACATTGTATGCTTGGTAATCGTACGACATGCCCACAGTGCTCTTGAGCGAGTAGTTGAGAAACACCTGGGGCAAGTCGCATGCCATCCATGCACACAATATACTTCTGTGAGGCGAGGCATGAAGCGCAGGGCACAACGCGATAGCAACGGTAGGATCGTGTGCACGCGACGTGAGGTACACTATGTCGTACCTGTGGCCAGAACGAGATGGACCAAGCAAAGAAGTAGATGCCTCCCAGGACGTTGCTGACAACACCGAGGGTGTGGTGTTCCTGTCACCGCAATACACATGTGAGCGCGCGAGTGCGTGTGTGTGTGCGTGTGTGTGCGTGTGTGTGTGTGCGTTGTGTGTGTGCGTGCGTGTGTGCGTGCGTGTGTGCGTGAGAGCTGCCTGGCAATTGGGTGATATGGCTGCTTTGATCACGGGTCGTGCGTTCATGTTGCCAAGTGTACCTTCAAGTCGGATGGGATTGGGGTTGCAAATCCCACACCAGTGCCGATGCCAAGAACCGCAATGGATCCTGTTGCATGCGCGAGTGAAACCAAAAAGCGCAAGGCAGAAGGCGAGCAAAGCAAAAACAAGGCTCATGAGCACACACACACACACACACACACACACACACACACACACACACAAAGTGATACAGCTTACAAGGTGGGCAGAGGAAGGAAAAGAGAGATAAAGATGTGCGGAGAGAGGCACAGAGAACGAAAGTAGGGCAGAAAGAAGGGGGGAAATCACAGAGAGACGGATTCAACCACACTCATAGACACACACAGACACAGACACACACACACCTGCAATGAGGATGAAGGTTTCTGATTTCCACCATGTCTTTGGCCTTCCGACGCCATCGATAGTTTGGATCAACAGAGGCTGGTCCTCTCTTGCGCTCGTTTGGGGCCCACCTTCCACATCCATCTTGACCACCACACACGTGTCAAGACACGTGTCAAGCAAGCAACCAAGCAACGAAGCTGCAGGCAAGGCGCGAGGATCAGCGCACGTTGCTGTTGTGGAAGGACGGCGCGGTGCGAGTTGGGAAGATTAATGAATATCATACATCAATTTTCAGCAAACAAACAACCAAGATGGCTGACGCTTGGGTGGTTGACAGGTGTGTTGTGTGTGTGTGTGTGTGTGTGTGTGTGTGTGTGTGTGTGTGTGTGTGTGTGTGTGTGTGTGTGTGTGTGTGTGTGTGTGTTGTACCTTTGTCCACTTTCTGTTTGTTGGACGGTGTGTCTATCTTTTGTGTTTGTGTCAAGCAGAACATTGGATTCTCATTCACTCTGTATTCCTTTCATTTCTGTTGCTAGTGTGGTTGGCTTTCTCTGCTCACCACAATGGACGACGCCCATCAACAACTTTCTTGAGGCAAACTGCCTCGAGTTTGCCCCGGACGAGGAGAACAAGCTCTCTTACACTCGCATCCACAAAGAATATCAAGGTCGGTGGCTGTGCGTTTGCTTGAGCTCGTGTGCTTGCCTGTGTGTTCGTGCGTGGATGAATCTTCCGTCATGCATGCTTGTTTGTTGTGTGTTTGTCGTGTGCATCCACATGCTGAAATGTTGACCGATATGCGTGTTTCTGTTCCTCTGCTACAGAACTTGTGGAATCTGTGCTGGAAGGATTTCTGTCAGGTACTGAAGCGACATCTACTCAGCGTGTTGTCGGTCGAGGTCAACAAACTCTCCTCCAACGTGCACACTCAGCTGCGCCTTGCTTGCTTCCCACGGCACCCCAAGCTCTCTCACACTCACTTGCGAACACACACACACATTTGCAAATTCACTCACACACACACACTTTCTCACACATACACTCACTCACTCACTCACACACACACACACTCTCTCTCACACACACACACACATACTCAGAGCTTGGGTTGTCGGCGGAGCAGTTTGCCACCGTCATGGAGGAGGCGGAAACATCCGATCGCCCCCGCTTCACGCCGGTGCGCCACTGCTCGGTGCCGTGCGTGCGCTGTTTGTATTCCAGCACTCGATCTGTGTTTGCAGTCCTCACGCGACTGCTCGTGTAGGGCGTGTTTGCCACCGTGGCAGCAGCAGAGGACTTTCTCCTGTTCAAGTCGCTCATGGTCAACAAGAACGTGGAGCTGGAACTCGAAACGCGCGCCTTTTTCATTCAGGCGCATCAGCACGCCCAAGCCCAGGCGCCAGAGCAAGAGGAAGAGACACGCTCACAACGTCCCACAACAGCTTCGTCCTTGCACAGGTGACGCTCGCTGCGCTGTTTTATGCGTGCCATGCAGCCTGGCCTGTACCATTGTTCCCAAGTCTCAAATTGTGCCCCATCTATGTCTGTTGCTGTGCACATCTGCGTGCGTCTGTCTGTTTGTCATCGACGCTTCAGATCCCGCGCCGTCCTCTCAGAGGCTGGACACGCAAGGTACGCGCTTGTACGTGAGTGTGTATGATTGTGTGATTGTGTGCTTGTGTGATTGTGTGCTTGTGTGATTGTGTGCTTGTGTGATTGTGTGCTTGTGTGTGTGTGATTGTGTGCTTGTGTGATTGTGTGCTTGTGTGTGTGTGTGTGATTGCGTGTGTATGTGTATGTGATTGTGTGTGTATGTGTGTATGTGTTGAAATCTTTGTCTCCTCATTGTTACCTTGTGTCATTGCCCCTTCATGTCGGGTTACGAGCATGGTTTGACATTGTGTTGATGGTGAACGAATGCGCGGATGTATGTGTGTGTGTGTGCTGTGTTTGCAGGTTTGATGACACGCAGTCGATGGAGGCCACAGCACAAGAGGAAACATTGTTGCAGGTGAGGCAATGCAATGCACCGCAATTGCTGTCGTGGCACGTGATGTGATGACTGCATCGTCCTGTTCAAACTCTGCACACAACTGCCATTCGCACTGACCCATCACTACTGCCTACGCACCATGACGTCTCTCATCCTCTCCCTCCTCCTCTCTGACTCCCTCACACCCATACACACACACACACACACACACACACACACACACTCTGTCTCTGTCTCTGTCTCTCACTCACTTTTTCTCCCTCACTCTCACGCACTCCCATCCTCCCTATTGATTGCCTGGTGTCGCTTGTTGTGACCAGAAAGCGTTGCGGTTGTCCCTTGAAGAGTACAACAAGCAGCAGAGCGCCGAGGATGAGGTTCGTTTACGCGGGCGAACCCATCACGATCGTTTGCGGCTCGTTCACGCACCCTTGTCCGCCGGGTGTCGCTGCACTATCAACCACACACACGCACACACACACACACGCACACACACACACACACACACACACACACACACACACACACACACACACACACACACACACACACACACACACACACACACACACACACACACACACACACACACACACACACACACACACACACACACAAAACAGGAGTTGCAGCGGGTACTTGAGTTGTCTGCTGAGGAGCACCGACAGCTGATGGCGCAGGCGGAGCGCGACCAAGACCACCTCAACACAGCACTTCAACACTCTCTCGCAGTGCGTTTGGGTGCTGGCGGTGCAGACGAGATGCCCTTTGTGCTTTGTGACTGCCCTCCAATGCTGCCATGACTCGGTTTGATGGTCGCCGCTTCTACGTTTTATTCGGCACAGCTTCCGCTCACGTCGTTCCGGTGCTGTGCGTTTGTTCGTGGGATCACAAGGAGAAGCAGGCTACCGAAGCAGCAAAACCATCCCTGGCGTCGCAGCCGCTGCCTCCCATCTCGTCACCATCATCGGCTGTGACAGCGCCACGCGATATGCCCTCGGGAATCGATTCCCTCTTCTCCTCGCTCACCATGGACGGGTGAGTGTGCGTGTGTGAGAGAGTGAGTGAGTGAGTGAGTGTGTGTGTGCGAGAGAGAGTGTGAGTGAGTGAGTGAGTGAGTGAGTGAGTGAGTGTGTGTGTGTGAGTGTGTGTGTGAGTGTGTGTGTGTGTGTGTGCGTGTGTGTGTGTGTGTGTGAGTGTGTGTGTGTGTGAGTGTGTGTGCGTGTGTGTGTGTGTGTGAGTGTGTGTGCGTGTGAGTGCGTGTGAGTGCGTGTGTTTGCGTTGGAACTGCTCAACGTGATCACACATAGAGTAAACCCTGCCTCCCTCCTGACCCATACCCCCCTGCACACATACTTCGCCAGTGCGGACGCGGCGACGGCGGCGCACCGAAAGCGAATTGCGTCCCAGCGGCAGCGCATCGTCGCGAAACGAATGGCAGAACGCGAGCACCAGCTCAAGCAGTACACGAGCCAGCAGGTACGCAGCACTTGCGGTGGACATGACTGTGTGTGCTGGCACTCACGCATCACAGGTGCTGTGCCAATCCTCTCTTGTCTTGAACGTTGGCTGATGGATATGACTTGGCTCAAACATGTGCTTTGGCGCTTCCGTTTCCCTTGATGCATTGTGATGATGGAATTGCGTGAACGGCATGACAGGTCCCGCAATCACGCCCGAGCAGGACAATGTCCGTCCCAAAACCTTCCACGCTTCCATCGTCGCGCCCACAGCGCGTCAGCTCAGCACTCGCTTCCCGTATTCGCCGCGAAGTGCGAAAGTGAACACAGACACAGACACAGAGGCAGACACACACATGCACAGAGGCATGACTGCGTGCTACCATCCACATAAGAAGCACCAATAAACTCGCCCTCCCACGACAGACACAGAGGCAGACAGAGACAGACAGATACAGACAGACAGACAGACACACAGATACACCACACATGATAATGACGCGAAATGGCAACACCCCAACTCCCTTGCCGTTACTGATCGCTGTTGCCGGTTATGCGTGATACGTTACAATGATGGTGCACTTGCGGTGCCAACTGGAGTGATCGTAGCCAATACCAAGTCAATGGCGAAGGAAGGGCGTGGGCGCGTTGCAGAGAAGACATTGATTGGCACACGCCTTCAAATGGAGGTGTGAAAGACAGCAACAGCTCAACCGTGTTCAGTGTGTAACAACAGAAGAACAAGAGACATCACGGCGTCTAAGACAAAGCAGAGAGGGGCTACAGAGTCGAGATCAAAGTTGAAGGAAAGTTTTGGCGCTGATGGTGCCAGCGACGGTGTTGTTGGCGATGTGAAGTTGAGCAATCAAAGCAAGGTGCAGTAGCAATCATAGCAAGGTGCAGCAGCACTTGTTGGTCTTGGCAACCGCAGGCGCTGCTGGTGCTTGTGGCTCCTTCTGCTGCTGGTGGTGCTGTGATGATGGCTGCGATGCAGCTTGTGTGGGCGTCACATCCACTTGAATGTCCTCGCTCTTGACGGTTGCTGGTGCTGCCGGTTCCACTGCGGGTTCACTCGTTGCCTTTGCCTGTGCTGAGCTGGCATGAACACGCTGCACCTGCTGCGTCTCTGCTTGTTCCCGTGTTGCTGTTGCTGCCTCTGTGGTTGCTGTGGCGGCGGTGGTGCCTTTGCTGTTCGATGGCGGGTCCTCCTCGCCAAGTTGTGTGTTCACACGCTGCTCCAGTGCACTGACCAGCGCATCGAAGTCTCCATCCTTCACAGCAGGTGGCAGGCCAAACGCCGCTGCGATCCGGGCAAACGCCTGTGCCACCCTCGCCTCCTGCTCGCTCTCCATCGTCTTGCTTGCTTGCTTGCTTGCTTTTGCTTGCTTGCCTTGTCAGTTTTGTTGTTGGTTGTGGTTTGTGTGTGCGGAAACAACAACAACCACGACAACGCCAGCAGTGCTGACTATGGCTGCGGGTGCTGGTGGCGGCGCAGGCGTGTCCCTTCAGCGTGGCGGACCGCCGCTGGCTGTGGTGCTCCTGCTCTTGGTCCTCGTCCAGTTTGGTACGTCAATGAACGTGGTGGAGTGGGGAAGTGGGGAGAAGAGGGAGGAGGGGGAAGGGTGTTGTTGACACACGAGG